AATTGGTGGTCTCTTAAAGTTCTACCTAAAGCTAGAATTTCCACAGTTAAGTTTTCAAGGTTATCAGTAAGCTTATAATTGACTACTAACATCTACCACCGCATATTGTAACCTTTCTTCACATAAAATGTGTAGCAGCTAAGCCACCAAGATAGTTCCTTGGACAAGTCATTTGAATATTCACAGAAGCAATTTTCCTGGTGTATATTCACAGAAGTAATTTTCCTGGTAAAACATAACTAGCAAAGGATACTTTACATACCCATGTAACCAACAGTCCCAACTCGTCCTCGGACCATTTCTCCTTCTGGAATCTGCACAGCTAATCCAAGATCTGAAATTCTGATATGCCCTATTTATATTAAAATAAATTATACATAGTCAGCAAATAATAAAATATCATCACTCTTAAAATAAAAAAAATTCTGTAGCATACCTCATCAAAAAACCACCCCAAACCATCAAAATATTCTTATATTCATAGCACTAAGTTTATCTAACTTAACTAGAAAGGAGTGAATTATCATTATTCAACCCTCCTTAAATATGTAAAGGACGAGAGGCACAGATCTAACTGATTTCATGAAGGTCATACAAAAAAAATTGCTGTTAAGTACTCTAATTCCTAGCTTTGGCATAGGCTGCTACTGTAGGATGAATAGAAATGATGACTGCTTATTTAAAATCCTGTATCTATGCATCACATTTGTATTTTTCCATTCTATAATCTCGCCACAAAGACTTAGCTTTTCAGACTTCCTAATGAAACATCAGCATTTACTCCTTTTATTCCAAACATGAGAAAACTGTAGTTTGTATTGAGACATCAGGTTTTCCTCTAACAAAGTACCCCAATAATGTTAAGCACAAGTAATTGGAATTACTACCCCCACTCCCATCCCAAAAGAAACGTAGCCTAGCCATAACCTACTTAGAATTTAATTTTCAACTCAATTTTAAAACAGAAAATTGACAGTCATCTGTAGTAGAAAGATTCAGGGGGGAAAAAAACAAAACAAACCGAAAACCACACTTACTTCTAATATTGGATATAAGGACAGGGACAAAGTCATTTACAGAAACATCACAGATTCACAGATTAATTCAGTCTGGAAGGGACTTCAGAAGGTCTCTAGTACAACCTTCCCAGCAAGCAGTCAGCACAAAGTGTTCAAGGCTATTTAAATTCTTGTCTAGAAAGCCTCCTAGATTAGACACTGCATCACCTCTCTGGGTAGTGTCCTTTGTGCATATATTCTGTGTCATTCAAAAAGCTCTACAGCATCAGTGTTATTTAATAGCATATTAATTTCTTATTTACATGTGACAGATAATCAAGGGGTGTGGAGAGTGGAAAAAATCAAGTGCTGCTCTATATACTGGTTGGAAATAACTGAATGCTCTTGAGCAGCAAATGCTATTTTAAATGCATTCAGATGCTCTTCTATTCCCTGACATCTGATGAACCCCTTTTGAGTGCAGGATCTGAGCTCCTGAAGCTATTTTCTAATTAGTCCCCTCTGCTTTCTGGAACAAGATCAGAATATTCCTGGCAGAAAGAAAGCATTCTAGTGCAGTCCTGCAAGGCTATGTTTTTCCTCAAAGAAGCCTTCTGCTTTTACAAGACATTGCTGGAGAGAAAAATTAAAGAATGCATTTGATGTCTAGCATGTCTAGCAGAGCTTTAGCTCTTGGAAACTGACTTCTCCCAAACATCACCTTTTTCGAAATTTATCAGTCAGAACATGTTGACTCTAAAAAAATATTATGCTAAGGACTTCAAACCCCATTTTTCCTTAACTAAAATACTCAGCAATTACAAGAACAAGCAGGTAATATTCATCCACAGCTTAGAAGAAGCTGCACATGCTCTACAGTGAACTAAATTCTGATACATTTCATACAAAGTAATTAAAGAAAATTAATTTGGCTTTTGAAAAACAAAAAAAAATACAAACATTTCTTCATATTGTTTGTACTTTCTTGATTCCGTCCAGCCACATATACAACAGTGACTATCAGACCTGTTTTAGTTGAAATGTTGAAACAGAGATGCTTCAGATTTTTTTTTGTCTTTATTGCTTAAACATTATAGTTTACTAAGTAAAATTCTGGCTCCACATCTAACAAATCATGTTTCCACAGTCAAAGAAAAGATAAACAGAGAACAAATCCATATAAAAGTTTTACCCATCTTAAATCAAGGGGAGGGGGGAGAAGGAGGAGCAAAAGAGGAAAAGTAGCCATTTTAAGGTGGGATACTGACCCCTCAAAACATCATCATCATCGTCGTCTTCCCCCATAGACACAGTATTTTCCCCTACTTTCTAAAAAGCAAGGGCGCTTTTTCTTTACTAATTAAAGTTAACATTTGTCAGTCAAATCCCTTTTATTACGAAGACATTCCTTTCATTTCTGGCACAGTATTAATTAGTTTGTAATTCCCGATTTCAACACTAATTTAAATTTTTACTTACCACAGTCATCAAGGAGTATATTCTCAGGCTTCAAGTCTCTACAAATAGAATAGAAATGTGAATTATAGAAAGGCAAAATTATTAGCCATCATCAAGTGCAACTGAGGCAACATAAGACTTCTTGGTTCTGATTAAAGCAGTTTTTCCAGTTTCCACCTATATACAAAAAAAAGGTGTCAAGCTGAGGACCTATAATACCATATTAACCATATGAGTTTAACCACAGAACTCAAGATCCATTTCCCAACTCTCTAATCCATTTATATTAACAGCAGCAACTCATATTTCACAGATGAGAAACTTTCTCTACACAATACTAAAATCCTGATATGAAAAACCACCAACTTACACCCAAATTTGTGCTCCTAAGTGAAAGACCTCTCCCAAGAGTATCAGCCATACAACTACTACACAATGGTAAAACACACCAGTGCTTGCTGCAGTTCAGTGCTGACCCCTTGCTATATTCCACCCCAGGGTGTCAGAATATCAACAGAGAGTAATATTCCCCAGACTAAGCATAGGCTTAACATAATCTTTTCAGACTCCATTCCTTTCATTTGGACTTGCAGCTTCTAAAGCTTACTAGACACCTGTATCTAGTCAGGATTCTTTGCAATTGACTTTCTAAGAGTCTCTGCTACTTTTCTGTAACCAAAGTTTCACATGAACATTTTTTGCTATTAAATGCTAGCCAAGACCCAGGAAATAGTAAAAGGGGCAAATAATTCAGTGTTGCAATTTTATAGGCATCTTCTTGTACATTTTAACTTCAATAACAAAAGAAGAAACTCAACAGATATTTGCATTCCCCCCCCCCCCCAAGGAAAATTTGCAGAGTCACTGAAGCTGAATCAGGAGCTGTTCACAGGTTACTTCTAGATTTATCCTCTAGAAGATTTACTGAAAAAACATACATATTTTTATATACATAAAATACATATATATATATGGAATACATGTATAAAATATATAATGTGTATTATACATGTAATTGTGATATGCATCAGAAAGTATGTGGACTGCAAAACACTTATTCCACCAAAAATATAAGGCCAGAAATAGAAAAGCAAAAATCAAAATCAGTACTTGGCTAAAGGAACATATACAAGCAGAAAAGACTGAATAACGTGAAAGAAGCAATTTTAAGGAGAACAACTCTAGAATTTACATTCAAAATGACAGAGAAATATACACACACACGTTCATTGAGAAATCTGCATGCTTTTTTTTCCACAAATATTGAGAAATTGATACTCTGAAGTATGTGTATTCATGTTAAAGTTTCATTATTTCATAAGATTGTCTAAAGAAGTCAGCAAGATACTTTGCTTCTAATACTTTTGAGTCTAGACAGTCCCCATAATGTTAATCGTTTGACATTGGATACGAGGTTACAATACCAGAGAAATCAGGAGAGATTAGAGTAAAAAACCAAAAAAACTCCACACCAGTATCAAAAAAGAAAATTGAGCTCAAGCTTTAGGTAGAAACACATCTATTTCAAAGCACATAATATATTCTCAGGTTAACTCAAGTTAAAGTGTTCCGTCTCCAAGAAGGCCATTTAAAGCCTAACCTAAAACATAATTTGTACTAGCAACATCTGGTGCTTAACAGAAGCTGTTCTGACATTATTTTGGTTGGTCAAGAGTAAAACTTGTTTCTAACCAAAATTCCATGTCTTTAATGCTATTAGTTTCTAGGCTTAGTAGTTCATGAAGAGGTCAGCTTTTGGAAGCATTTAGGTATAAATTCTTACTCTGGGATGCTAGCTTTGGGGTGTTAGCCTTCTCTCTCCTCCCTTCCTCCATGGTGACAGAGGCCAAAGTCACAGTTTCTGTTGGAATACACAGACACCAATCCTGCACTGGGTAACAGGCTACTTGAGAATGAGAGTGTTCTGAGGTCCCTCTGGGTGGCATCTCTTCCCTCCAGACTGTCAACCACACCACGCAGCTTCCTGTCGTCGGCAAACTTGCTGAGGGTGCACTCAATTCCACTGTCTGTGTCCCTAACAAAGATGTTAAACTGTGCCCATCCCCGTACCAACCCCTACAGAATGCCGCTCGTCACTGGTCTCCACTGGGACATCGAGCCATTGACCACAACTCTTTGAATGTGACCATCCAGCCAGTTCCTTACCCACTGTGTGGTCCACCCATCAAATCCATGTCTCTCCAGTTTAGAGACAAGGATATCATGCAGGACAGTGTCAAAGACTTTGCACAAGTCCAGGTTAGATGATGTCAGTTTCTCTTCCCTTATCCACCAGCACTGTGACCCAGTTGTAGAAAGCCACCAAATTTGTCAGGCACGATTTGCCCTTAGTGAAGCAACCTCCTGGCTTGCTTAGGCTGTTCTGCTTTGTCCCTCCAACAGATATCAGGGTGGTTGAAGTCACCTGTGAGGACCAGGGCTTGTGAACATGAGGCTGCTCCTATCTGTCTATGGAGGACCTCATCCGCTCAGTCTTCCTGGTCAGGTGGCCTGTAGCAGTCCCCCACTATAGTGTCCCCTGTCCCTGCTCTCCCTTTAATCCTGACCCATAGGCTCTTGATCGGCTCCTCATCCATCCCCAGGTGGAGCTCCATGCACTCCAGCTGGTCACTGACATAGAGGGTGACCCCCCCTCCTTGTCTCCCCTGCCTGTCCTTCCTAAAGAGCCTGTATCCCTCCATTCCAACCCTCCAGCTGTAGGAGCCATCCCACCAGTCTCAGTGATGCCATTAAGATCATAGCCCTGCAGGAGCGTGTATGTCTCTAACTCTTGTTGTGGGTTTGCATAGAGGCACTTCAGTTGGGCCCCTGATGAGGTTGACTTACTGGCTGGAATTCCTTTGTGCTGCTCTTCAGGTTCTCTCCTGCTGACCTGTGATCCTTCTCCAGGCTCTGGGTATCTATTTCTGGCACTGGCATCAAACTGGTAGGAGTGGGATGGATTGAGGTTCCCCTTCCCCTGGCAACTTATGTTTAAAGCCCTCTGTAATAATGTAACATATCACTGTAATTGGTGACATTCTGAAGACTTCCATAACCCCCTCTGTTGGCTTCTTGACTTTAAAAGGGTAAAATTTACAACTACGCTCTTAAATGCATGATACAAAAAGAAATATATGGAAAAAACAAATCAAGACCATCAGGAAGAAACAACTACCACTAGCAGAGAGAAGAAACAAGATTTTGTTTTACAGAAGTTGGTCATTCAATATTAAAAAGAGCAGGGCTGAAAGTGATTCTATAGAGAGTGTAAAATTATCTAAATATTTTCTAGTTTTCCTACTCAGTGTAGTTGAGTTGACATGGTATAATTACAGTCTCTTTTCATCTGTTTACAAACAGGGCAGGAACTCCTTTAGTATGTCCTATACTGACTTGATTACAAAATACCTTCAGGTATTAGGATTAAATTTAAGTCCTTTTTCCTCCAAGCGTACAAATTATTCAGTTATTAACACATGCACAGGTAACTGTCTCTTGGTCCTTCATTTTGTTATGAACAAAGGACTAAAATTAATTCCCATTCTTTTAATTAAGATGCAATTTTATTCAGAGTGGGTTGTGAAACTACTTTTTTCCTTGCTCATAAATTTGTCATTCAAATTCGTAATAATTGGAAACTGATTACATAATAGTGCAGAACAGGACAGAGATCTAGACACCAAGACTGCTCCAAAAGAAACCACGACCACTCCAAGTTCTGGAATTACAGATAGAGAACACTAGGATTTGACATATGTGTTTGAAGGTCTTCTCATAGGCAAACAGCTAACAAGCTGGGCTTAAGGGCTGTGGAGCTTTTTTGTAGTTTTTATTTAGTTTGGGGTTTTTTGTTGGTTTTGTTTTGTATGTTAAACAGTCAGTTTTGTTTTCACTTGAGCAACCTGAAATGACCTACTTGTAGCTGATCCACATGAGAATGATGAGCAAACCCATTCATCCTTGCTTCCCTCCTACATGCATTCCAAAACACACTGTGCAACATGGCAAGATTGGCCAATTTTTTTAGGGAACCAAATGCAACATCTAGCATAAGCCTGATGTACTCCGTGGTTCTGCAACTTTCTGCTTTGTGTATGTTAGTCGTCCATACTGGGGAGGGAAAAGACTAAGACTCATTACATTAAAGTTATGCAAGACTATACTTTAAATCTTCAAGTGGTACTTGGTGTTACACACCAGAAATATAAAGATAGTGTTCTTGGTCCACCTCTAAGTTTGGTTTCCTTATTCCATAATAATAATGGCTGCCAGGGATCAAATAATGCAGGTACAGAGACAGAAAAGAACAGTAAGATCATACAATCTCAATTACAATGCATGAGGCTTCTGACAGTTTAATGCAAAAGCAATAAAGTGTTTATTGGAGAAACTTGAAATAAAAACAGAAGAAAGAGGGCAATATGGATTATAACTGATTTTTACCCTCTTGGGCATAACGAGCAATGCAGCAAGAGACTTCTATAGCCTTCTGCGAACTTCTACTTCAGAGCGGGCAGGAATACAATCCCATGTTCCTAGAATGTATTTACCTGAATTACTAATTAATTTGCTTTCTAACTCATAATTTGCTATCATTTTACAAACTTTGAATCAACTTTATAATGTTTTAGAATACAGCAAGTACCTAGACCTAAATTAACAGTAAGAAGACAAATAAGATCACTAATTCCAAAGGACGTGGCATGCAAAGGACAACTAAACAATTTTTTTGCTTTTTTTACTATGAAGTTGAAGTATAAACTTGTTTTAGTGGAAAACAATTAATAAATTTAATGCTGAACATAGAAAATTCAAGGTATGAGTGACTGTAGATGACACTGACCTGTAAACAATTCTCTCCTTCTGCAAATCCTCCAGACCACAGCACAGTTCTGCAGCATAGAAAATAGCCCTTTCTTCATCAAAGCCAGGATTTCCCATGTTATATATGTGAAACTTCAAATCCCCTCCATTCATTATGGTTAATACTAAACACAGGGCATCTTTCGTCTCATATGTATAGGATAAACTAACCTAAAAATGGGGCAGGGGGAGAAGATGACCATTATTCATTCATAAACCCCAGTACCATTCACAGCTCTTTTTGTTTCAAGCAACATATGAATCCTTTTTTAAAACAAACAAACAAAGCCAAGTAGCAAATTGCTCCTGTCCAATACTTCAAGATAGAAAGGAATTCATACTAATTTAAATGTATACAGAAACCCTACATCACTGTACAAAAGTTTAGTGACATATCTGTTTAGATAATGTAGAGCTCCATCCAGACAATAGATTTATTGACGATATTCCTCAGCTGCACGTTATCTATACTGCTCTTTGTAAAGATAACATACACATATAGCTTATTTTATTATACCTCAGGAATTATGCGCTGTCAAAACATCTTCCTGAACTTCTACAAGACTCAAAGTTGCCCTAAATTAGAGAAACTAAGGAAGTTATTGAAGATCAAATGTGTAGTTTCTATTCCTCCCTTCACCTACACAAATAACTGTGTATTTCCCTGGCCTAGAACTTGCCAACAGTAACGACTTAGTATAGCTCTTTATGGTCTTTTTTGGCACTGTATTTGGAGTGAGGTGCTGATAGGGAAGGAAGAACACCATATTTTTTTATCTTCAGGTTTTAGGTAAATGTTTTTAAAGTGCATTTAAAGTTTTAAAGTAGACTTGTAAATCCAAAGAAAAACAATTTTAAAACAATGTAATATACTGCAAAATATAACACGTTGGTTAAGTTGCAAACTCAGTTTCAACAGAAAAAGCTAAGCTATGCTGACGATCATCTGTCAGGATCTTCAAAATTACCTACAGAGATCAGCTGACTTGTGCTGAAAGCAATGGGATTAAATTTATACTTAGCTTATATTAGGTAAATTAGGTAAAAATCAGTAGGATTTTTTTTGACTCAATAAATGTATTTTTAAACACAGTATAAGTACATAAAGGCCATAACTCAGTAATAAGTCCAAACTCTTCCTTCAGAAGCATAAATCCAATACTAAATAATAAAATGAAATAAATATACAAATCAGCTACTCAGGGCAAGGGTTCCTATTTGATAGTTTTAAACTGACCTGTCCACCTGTTAATGACTTCACTTGTGACACAGGCATGGGAAATTATCTACCCACTTCCAACTCAGGATTACTGCAGATCCTAGATCTAAATCTTCTTTGTTGCATCAAAAAAAGCATTGAGTGGCAAAAGAAAAATAGCTTATGCTCAATCCTATAAAGTGACTTCAAATTCAACTTTGATCAGTTATTGATTTATAATATTTACATATGTTGAGAAAATATTACTCAAAAATAGAAGTTTTGCTCTTATACTATGCATCTCTACAACTAGTAATTTCTGGATCAATTCAGCTAATATCTGGATTCAGTTTCAATCAATTCAAGCCCATGAGCCTTATGAGAAAATAACATTAGCATATTTATACAAAAACGTAATTTATACTAGTTTAAAATACATTAATGTATCTGGCCAGCAGGTTCTTATTTTTGCATTTAGCTGGCGGTATTCTACATAATGAATTATTAATACATAAAGCTTATCAGAAAATATATACATATATATTTTATACATGCATACATATTTATTTATAAATAACTTCCACTGTCCTGTAACACAGGTACTTTAAAATTCTCTCTGAACACTGACACTAAATTTATCAGTAAATGGATTTTATACCAAAGCAAAATGCATTTAAAATTAACATTTAAATGACAACAATTCAATTGAAAAATAAATATTACCTTGGGGAAAGTTTACTTGGTGTATCTTTGATCATTCTAAGTTATTTCACTGCTTAGTAATTAGAGCTAGTAAAAGATCATAATTTACATGATGGTATCAGGTTAAAATATTAAGACCAAGATTTTAATTCTGTGGACTCTCTGTTAAAAAGTTATATTAATTGTTTCACAACCAAGATACCTCTTTAAGCCCTAGTACACAGCATAGCACTATAACTAACCTGAATCGATAAACTAGTCTAATTTCTTGTTTATCTTGAAAAGTATAAGCAATAGAGTAACAAATGACATGAAAATACCTAAGGATATAAAAACTCTACTATTAAAGGGCACAGAAATGTAGGATATGCAACTTCTAATGGCAATTAAATGGCAGACTCTTATGAAGTCACCCATTTGTAAGTGCATTTATGAACCACCTCTAAAAATGAAATTAGAAATCAGCATTAATTATAAGAAAATAGGTGTATGGGAGGGAAGAAGGGGATAAGAGAAGAAAACAGCAATGCATTGGAAGAAGAGACAGAGAAGAGAAAGAAGGAAAATAAAGTATATGGGATATCCTCTTTATTAAACATAGGCAAACATACTCAGGCATAGGCTGGAGCAGAAATAGAATTTAAGTGATTATTCATGTCTGAATACTAAAGAATAATCTATTCACCTTTAAAGAGAGGACAAAGATTCAGTGGCATCAGCATGCTGAAACACAACCTAATGTTTTAGTTTTAAGTGAGAAATAAAGCAGGCTGACTAAAACCAATTCAACATTGGATAAAAAAGTCCTCTGCACAGATCTATTCACAATCACACACAATACATACTTATTAATATCCATCATTTATCTCAGCAGTCACGCATTCTCTAAATCAATTGAAAAATGTCTTGTGCCCAGAAGCTCTTGGAAGAGACTAAAATGAAGCAAACAAAACAAGACAAACTTCTGAGAATAAAATCAGAAGTAGATACTTACTACAAACCTACTATTCACTTTTTCTAGAATTCTTTTTTCATTTAGAGCCATTGATTCTCCTTTCCTCTTCTTTATTCTCTTTTTCTCTAGCTTTTTACAAGCATACATTTTTCCTGTTGCCCGTACTTGACAGGCACACACCTAAAAAAGAAGGAAGGTGTGTCAGATATGCTAGGGGTTTTCTTTAAATCTTTTTTTACAAAGAAGATAAAATTTTATTTTCTTTTTTCAAAGTCTTGAATGCTCTAAGAAAATGAAGGTCTAAGTATGAATTCAGAGCTTTCACCCATGCAACAACTTTGAAGGGTCACAAAAGCTGTAACAGAAGTAGAAGAAGTGATTATACGGGAGCAAACCCATTTTTGTTGGAGTTGAATAGTTCAGTAAAACTATGGTCTTGTGTTGGTGAAACACCTGACTGTGGTAAAAGTATTTGTCTATGCAAGCCGGACAGAGGACAAACATCCACACCATAATCAAGTGAGAGAACAATAAATGATAATTTAGTTACCCTCCTTCCCCTTCAATACAAGGCTCTAGCTAAAACATGGAGGGGGAAAAAAGCCCAATGAATTATAAACAGAATTAATAAAATCTACAGATTTTACTATTAGATTAATAAATATTCTACACAATTATTAAGTAGAAACTATTCTACATAACTATTGAGTAGAAACTACATTCTCATTGACAAATGAAATTTCTAAACAGAAGCAATTGTTGTCAGTCAGTGGAACTTTTCTCTAACCTTGTGCATTGCCTACAATACTGAAACTAACATATTAACAGAAAACAGTTTGGATTGAGGAGTTTGCCAGGTGATGTATCAAATGTAGATTGTTAGAGTCAAGAGGTAGAAAACTGCTCCTCCTCTGTATTAACCCTTCCCCCCCCCCCTTAGGTATTGCCTTGCATAGATACCTTTGTACTCACCTCTCCAAATCCACCTTTGCCTAGTACTCGGTAATGTCTAAATGTGTGTTTAGTAACTGGTTGCCTGATTAACAGAAAGAAAAAATTACTGCAACAGGAATTACAAGAGTTGGTAATACCCTCCCCACCCCAAGATTTGTCTTAAATTTCTCGTTCCTGTTCTATGACATCTTACTGAACAACAGTTGTCTTGACCCCACGAAGACAGTATTGTAATAAGCTGAATTTAAAATGAAAGGGGTGTTCTGATTAGAAACATTGGCTCCCTCATGTGGTCATCAGACATTCACAATAGCAGGAAGAAAAGCCGATCAATTAGGCCCTGTGCTGTTTATGGTTAGAGCCTTATCTGTTCTCATCAACAGTCAATTTATCACCTCCAGTTGTCTCCCTTAGCTGCAGTGTGCTGACATGTACGCTGGGTTTCAATGAGATCATGCTTACAATGCATCATTTAAAAGGTAAACCATTTCTGACTTTGCTTTGCTGTTTGGCTTTTTTGAAAAAGAAAGAGTTGTGGTTCACGGCAGCAGTTCAAGAGCCAAATTGTTAAGGTACTGATGTAGTGAAAGAGGAACAGATAACAGGAGGCAGTAAAGGTGTCAACCATTCTATGCTAAAACACTCCTAAAGGTATCAGAGCAGGGCTATTTCATTATGGTGGGGGTTTTTTTTTGTTTTGTTTTAAAAGCATTTTCATTGTATAAGGCAGCTGTGTTCTCAAGACAACAAATGGAGGTTCATTTGGTAGAGAATTCGTTTTCATTGAATAACATCTCTAGTTCTCTTCCTGGCTTTTGCTACTAATTCAGTCAGACAACGGATAATTGGAATTTACCATAAAATTAATTCTCAAGCACTTTAATATTTGAATATGTGATCATTATATCCAGTAGTGGTGAATTAGAATCAATTTGTAACAATTTCAGCCTTCTGAAAAAGCTTGGACACTCATTTAGCATTGATTTAAAAGCCCAAAATAGATTCTGATATATACAAATCTTGCTGTCTTGTAATTACTAGATCTGTGTCTGTACCACCCTGAAAAACTGATTAGTTACCCTATCACCCAGTGGGTTGTAAAACTAGATTAATCTGCTTATTAACCACTAATTAGACCAAGTTTGAAACTAAAGGATGATAGCATTCCCAAGAAAGTCTGCTATTGCATCACACACTTGACAGCCAAACATATATCCATAGGATAATAAAAGACTACTGGACAGATACTTCCATGGGAATATTAGCTCTCTTGCTGTTTCATCATCATCATCCTTTAAATCTTGTATTTCAGATCATAATTTCTTAGACAGGCAGTGTCATTCATTAGGGCTTTACAGCATTTCTAGCATAAAAAGTGTAACTGGCTATAAAGCAAAGCAAAATTATAATGCAAACATTATAAGTAAACTTACTTTTCCAGCCATTTCCACTGTAAAAAACGAGAAAAATACACACTTTCTTGGTAAGCTTCAAAAGGTCTTCTGCTTAGGTATTCATGGACAATTCTAGCAACAGAAAAATAAAATCAATCTTATACTGAAAAAAACTGATGAAGCAGGAGGTACTATCAATCTATTAAAATATCTTTAAACATATTAATGAAGCTGTAGGCAGGAAAACAGTCACTGTGCTCTAGAATGGTTTTAACCTACACATCTCTCAAAGTGAGTGCCTGTCACAGAAAACTGTTCCTGTCAAAACACCAGTGAATGCCAAAGTACTGTTACTTAGAGTAACTAGAAAGTTTGACCTCTGAATTCTCAGTGTCTTTAAGCCCACTTAAATATCAGCCTCTCAGTAGCTATGCAATGCACGTGTGACCCCACAAATATGACCTCTGAAAGATATTTACAGGAAAGTATCTACAGGATTTCATACATTCTTTGTAGACTAATAAGTAAAAATTTATTCCAGGATTTGAAATTGAAATAGTAAATGCCATAGCCAAGCCTGAATTCCAGGTACTTCATCATTCCCCTTAAATTAAATATACCAAGGTATGGGGTGGGAGGGGGAGGAAACAAGTTATCCAAACTGTATTCAGATATTAATTGGACAGAGGAAAGGGGATGACCTAAGTGACAGCTCCTCCATTTATGACATATTTTGCTAGGTGTTCTCACAGATCCCTTTCAATTTTATAATCTCAGGTTGTTACAAAGTATGCTTATTTTTGTTGCCAGGGAGATGACCCAAGCAGTGACAAAACGTGTTGTAATCCTCCAGACATGATCAAGCATGCCTTGAAGAACCAGTAATATTAGAAACATAAAGGCTTTAGAAAGACATGCAACATTGGTATAAACATGTACTGTCCCTCCAAGAAAAAAGCCTTCCCTGCTAGTGCTGCTGTGTGAAATGTCACATCATAACTTCAGAACAAAACCAAGTTATATTTCTTTGTGTTAACTATCATAATCGATCCTCTGATCAGCCGTCTTAATAGAATATAACTGTTGGCCTTGGTTCAAACTGTTTTCAAGAAGCATAAATTGTGTAACGTTCAGAAACCTTTCAAGCTCCAGTTAATAACTTCACCTTTTTCTACGTACCTTCATCATGGAGGAGAAGTCACTTGAAAGGTAATAATACAATAAAGAGAAATACTATTCTAGCTTAAAGAATACTTGGTAGCAGACAATAGTGTCATTTCATGCAAAAATAGCATTAAAGAAAATGCTCTACAAAAATCAAACATCTACATCACATCTGAAGGAAACCTAGTCCTTTAATAAATATCTTCCAAATTTCCTACCTACACTCATTTCTGAGACCAAATACTCCTGGGTGTAATAACTTCACCTTTCATTTCTCTCAGAAACGCATGAATTCCTCGTGATACTCAACCTTAGCACTATGCATTTTTAACTTACCTAGTACAGTCCATAAAAAGATCCTTAGAAGGGTTCTTTTCCAGTCTTGCTTTACATTCATTTACCGTTTCCTGAGGTATTTCTGGCAAGTGTGCTGCAGACTTCAAATTAATTAAAAAAAAAAAAAAAAGGCAACAACGAAAGCAATTTTGTAAATTGATAGAATGAGTGAAAGTTCTGTATTCAAAGTGAAGTGAAATGAAATCTGCTAATACTGGAATCGGAAAGGAATGGTTTGGCTAAAGAAAAAAGCAAAAAAGTCATATTAAGGCAAAATTTTTATTTGTTCCCTATTACAGAAAAACGCACTGAAAGCTATTACAGTTATTTACTGTTTCAGTATCCAAGGAAACAAACTTGGCAATGCGTCAAATTTCTTTTTATTTCCATAAGCCTACCACCACAAAAGCAAGTTATCTATTTGGTTTGGCAGGGTGGAAGGAATGGGACACACGCACACAATTTGGGAAACTATTTCAAACCAGCTCAAAGAAATCTGTTGATTTGTTGCTTTGGTTTTTTTTTCAAAAACTGCATGTGACTTATAGTAGTCCCAAAGAAATTATCAGAAGGGACGTGGCAAACTTGGAGTCCATCTGCTTTTAGGGCATCTGCAAGACCTTCATTTGGAGTAAAGACTTCTCAAGATGACCAAAGTAAGAGAAGCAGAAGGAGCATCTATTCATAGAAAGCAAATGTCTAATTATATATCCACAGAAAAGTTTCTATTGGATACCAAAGAACAGACTCTTAAAAAAAACAATCAAAGAGATCTAATATATGCAAAATATCAGCTATTAACGATCTTCATGCAAAATACAGAGATACAGAATGCTCTAGAACAACACAAAACAAAATAGCACTTCACTTCATGAAAACATGCAGCAATTCTGAAAATTTACAGCAAAACAACCAAGGTCGCACAGGAGTCTGAAAGAAGTCTGAGAATTTCAAGAATTCCACATTCTCGTGTCTTCAGACTACAAAACTCTCAGTTAATTTGTCAATAAGTTTTCTTTAGGTGCTAAATGAGTTTGTTTAAAAATAAGTCTTTACTTGAGACTAGTATTTTAATTAGAAAACAAAGGAGAATAAATCGTAATGGTAGTAGTCTTAAAAGCAGAGATCAGTCAAGTTTTCTGCTCAAGAACATATGAGACAATATTTTGCAATATGATATATTTACCCCATTAGTGAAGTACGTCTCTAAAACTTTCAGGCCACAGTCTATACGCTTTTCATCTGAAGATACCTCATATTCTGCCTAGAGGAATGGAATAGAAAATTAAATTATGTTCAGAGCTATTCGGCACTACAGTCTTTCACATGATGCTAGATAAATTTTATCATGAATAACACAATGCTCCTGAAGGCTCTCATTGTTTAATCTGTTTAAGGATTTTTAAGCTACATAGTGAACCATGTCTGAAGAACAGTCTTATGAAAAAAAGCACATGGAATTTAGCTTTTGGAAAACATAAGAAAACTAACAATTAGTCTAACTGCAATTATAGAAACTGCATCCTAGAGGTTAAATTAGATGATTTACAATGGTGTAGTATGTATGTAGTGTTGTAGCACAGAATATAAAAATACAATAATCAGCTTTTTTTTCACTGTATTATTTTTTCCTTAATGTATTTTTCTTTACTACAGTATTGGGTGAAACCAGGATAAAACAGTATACTACTTTCTACAAGGTCATGTTAACTGTAAAAAAGTGAGATCTAAACCAAACCCTAGTTCATTCTTTGAGAAAATAAAACTGAGTAGATACAACATTTATTGAAGTTTTTGACTTAGTAATATATGGTACTGTGATGTAGAAGAAGACCATTGTGCAGTACAGTGCGTTTTGCAGATAAACCACTGTCAGCTTTAATAGAGTTCCCAAGGCAGCTACTTAAGGGGAAAAAAACCCAAACCATCAAAAGATACTGGTATTGAAAAACTCTAACGACTACTTACTATTAATAATTTTAAGGAATAATCTAGAAGCAGACACCAGAAGTTACAACATTTAGAGATAACACAGAACCTGGGGAAAGACGAATTAGAAAAGAGCAATCTCAAACAGCAACCTGTATTAGCTTTGTAAGCTAGGCCAACTCAATCAAAGCTTATTTCTTATCTCAGAATGTAAATGCATGCACCTAGGAACAAAGAATATACAGCAGACCTCCAGAATGGAGGACTACATCACACAAAACAACAGTTTGGCATATTCAGACAACAATCATCAAAAAACTCATAGGAAGTTCCAAGTGATTGATCTAATCAGAAGAGAAGTTATGTCCCTTTCTAAAGAAAACTAGAACACTGAAAAATGACAGCTCAAGAACCAAACACACACACACACGATACTGGAAATAACAGAATCCCTAAACTCAAGTTCTGCAATCAATTGCAACTAACCCACACTGACTCACTACCAAGTCATCAACAACATCTTTTTCTGCTGAGACACAGGGTATCAACCACTTCAGCACAGTATTCAAATCCATTAAAAAATTGCAAGCCATGGTTTTTGCTACTTTAAATCCACAACAATCAGTCTAGTGGTGAGGAATTCTTTTGTAACTACCAAACAACCTGAGGAGGTCAGAACAGTTAAATCAACCACAGCAGTGCTCTTACCACCTTTAACATTTTCAATAATGCCAAAGTAGTCACTAATTTAACAGAAACACTTAGGCATACTGTTATAATCAGATACTGTAATTTAAAAGGAAGTTGAAGAGACAGCCTTGTCAACCAATTTCTGTTACTCACAGAACTTAAGAGGGAAGTTTGAGCTCTCACCCATTCTTTTCCATACTTGAGTAACCTTGTCCCCAGCTAGTGAAATGAGTCACTAGATGATTGGATAACTGTAATTCCTCACTTTAATTTCTGTCAATTTTATTCAATTATTTCACAACTCTTCTTTCTCTAAAGCCAAGCTGACTCCAGACTTTAAGGTCACACCTTCTCAAGAGTTAAAGCTTACCAGTCTTAGCACTCAGTACAGGCAGACAACATAGCATTGTACTACCTTGATTTTGCTATTTTGGCCTCCTGAAAAAAACCATGCTGCCGAAATCACATAGCTTCATATAAGAAAGTCAGAAAACTCTTTTAATTAAGAGGCAAGGCTCTTAAGACTATGGCAATTTATGCCAGAAAGTTTATTTTCAGAAAGATTAAGTCTAAAATTTATTTTAAAAAAATAAATTAAAAATTGGCAAAACCCAAGGTAAAAACCCCACAACCTTATCCACTCCCTTCACATTACTGCCTTACAAACAAAACCAACAAAAAACCCTCAACCCCACCTCCCCACCCCAAAAAAAAAACGTGAACAAGCTTGATGAAGCCCAGTCCAGAAAAGGGAATCAGGCTAACTCAGGAACCGTTTGTAAGATAGTAGGTATTTTATCTCAATTCCTTGATCAAGACAGCATGCTAGCTTTCAGCTCATGGAATCACCAATTAGAGATTATCTTAGCTCTTAAGAGACTTCTGTTTCAGTGATTCCCAAGCATACTTCTTCACCATGATTTTTTCAAATGGAAGTTAAAAAATTTAAAAAAAAAGTAATTGTGAAATCATCCCTTACATCAGATTATATCAACTATGACAGCCTGTTAATTCACGGAAGTATTGCAATCCACATAACATTACAGGTCGCGTATTTCAAAATAATTCAAAATTTTCAGTTAGTGTAAAACACAGTTACTTCTTAGAGGAAATTTCACCTGAAAAATGACAATTGTAAAGCAAAGACATGCCTGCCTTACAGTCATCCTAAAATTTTTTTCGCCTTTGTCCTGCCTAAGTTTCTGCTACTCTTTAGCTAAACTTTTAAGGATTAAAAATGTGTACAGAAGTTGTAACCATTAAGGGTATATCCACAGCTGTCAGTGGTCTCCCCATTATGCGACAATCATTAAAGGGTCTGGTTTACATTCACTTGAGAATATTTAGCTCCACTGTTCTGGATTTCTACTCATTCCGTTCTATGTCTCCAACTGTCAAACTGGTCTATGGAATTTGGTGCTAGAACAGCTCCTAAGAGTTATAAAAGCATGGTGAAATGCACCTGGGGAGTAAGCCTAATTGCACAAAGATTCATTGGCAAATATAAGGCAATTCTAGTTTTTTGACACTAAAGTTCCTTTTTAGCTGATCAAGTGCCTCAGCTTATACTCCTTTAAGGGGAACGAAGATATGGTGAAGTGGGGGGCACACCAATAATCCCGTATACTTCCTTACACCCTGCACGGTTCAGAGCCATCTTGCATTCTGAGGCTGTATTTTGGGACACATGTAAGTAGCAACATAATTTGACCATCTTCTTTGGTCATTTTTTTTCCCTGAATATAAGAACAAGAACAGGTGAGATGAGGAAAACTGTTCTTTTGCCAGCAACCTTAGTAATCCAAGTGCAGTACAGTAGAGTCTTAAACTATGAGGGACAAAGACTAAGAAGCTCTGAGCTATTATTCTCTCCTCTTAAGGACTGCTGTGTGCCTCCCTACTCTTCTCATTACTTTCCCCCTCCCCATCAGGGTTTTGTCTGAGGATTTGTGCTGTGGGCACACTTCCTTCCTCCCCTCATCCTTTAATGTTAGACACCAAGATGCAAACGTATCAAGACAAAACACTTCCTTTTCCCTTGGTCTCTAAAATCTGGTTTCTCTCCTTCCATAGATGGTTCCCTACATTTCCACCTCCATCGCATATTTTTTAATTAGCACATGCTGTCTAGCCTAAGGCTTCCATGCAAGTTGCAACATTTTCAAGTCTGAGTATCATAGGTAATATTCATTGTACACACATCCTTTTAGGCTTAAGAAGTCAAGCAGCACTTCCTTCTAAAGTTATTTCTCTCATTCCCATCATGCCCATTTTTGTAGCTTTGACCATACCAAGATGGCAGAGATTTTATAGTAAATATTAAATATCTTCTTTTAAGTAACAGAGCTACAGTTTTTTGACATTAATTAGAAGTTACAGGTTTAGAGTTCGCAAAGAGTAAATCCCACCATATTTTCATGTATGCAGCATTAGTGCACAGATGTGTTTAGCTAAAATTAATATTTTATAAAATTCTTGTGTTTTAACCCTGATAGGCAGGTGAGACCCACACAGTCACTTGCTCACTCCCCCCAGTGATAATCAGAAGGGCAGAAGTGAGAAAACGTGTGGGTTGAGATAAAGGGAGTTGAATAGATAGCAAAGCTGCACGCACAAGCAAAGCAAAATAAGGAATTAATTTGCTTCTTCCCATCAGGAGGCAGATGTTTAGCCATTTCCAGGAAAGCAGGGCTTCATCATGTGTAACGGCTACTTGGCAAGACTAATACCATATGTCTAACTCCCTGCCTTCCTCCTTCTTTCCCCCAGCTTTTATTGCTGAGCACCGCGTCATATGGTATGGGATATCCCTTTGGTCAGCTGGGGTCAGCTGTCCTGGCTGTGTCCCCTCCCGACTTCTTGTGCACCCCCAGTCTACTCACTGGTGGCGCAGTGTGAGAAACATAGAAGGCCTTGATGATGTGTAATCACTGTTTAGCAATAACTAAAACATCCTTGTTATCAACACTGTTTTGGTCAAAAATCCAAAACATAGCCCAGCATGAGCTACAATGAAGAAAATTGACTCTATCCCAGCCAAAACCAGTACAAAAATCAAAGCTTTTACAAACAAAATGTATAAGCTATTGCCTACTGATATCCTTCTCCAATTTCTCACTGCTTACCACTGCATCCAGAAATTCAATGCATCTTTTCAAATCCGGTCTGGAATCACAGAACTGTCTGAAGAGAAGTCTTCCTATTGGTTGTTTGTCACATAGCTGGTTATAGTCTCTTTCTGAGAAAGAAATAATAAGTAAATATTTATTTTTGTCATAGCATGGTCCTTACTCCCATTTGAGAATGTCAGAAAAACATCACTAAAATGTGAAGATTTTACATTAACATATTTAGCAAAGACATCAAAAGCACGCAATGATCCCAAAGAATAGTGAAACACTCACTTTCAGTCACATTTGTCTCTTACAGACTATCACATTTATTAAAAACATATTGAATTATATGGTTAAGTTTCATTTAGGTCAGTGGGTGGAAAGCAACAATACTGTGAAATAGAAATCCCAAAGCAAACAAGATTGTTTGGAAAGAAGGAATACAAGATAATAACAGAAAAGGCTAAAAAAATATCACAAGACATTAAGAAAAAAAGTGAAATATATTACCATGTGATTCAAATTACATTATGATGCCTTTTTCTAATACATGGCTTTGTAAATTCATACTTTAGGAGCAGTCTCCTTTAACAAACAAGGAGCTGTGATAAAGCTTTTATCTTCCCATAAATTTATCTTCTCATAAGTTCTTCATCACATTAAAAGCCTAACTGCTTTTTTTTGCTAATTAGCATTCAGAAGCAAGACAGAATCCTTTCAGTTAACACCACCAAACTCTTACCCTTCTTTCTCAAAAAAATCAGATAGACCATTCTGCAGGACACCTACCGATTGAGCTTCTAATGCCTTCACAATGACTAACAGGTGGCAACTTCAGCATCTCTCTCCATTTTTTACTACGCCCACTCCGTTTGCCTAGAAGAAAAATATGAGTAATATAAAACACAATACTATGTTAGAATGAAATTAAACATAACGCTAACAGCATAAAATTAGGTCACTTCTGCACAGCTGTGTCAGACTGCTTTTCATGCCTAGAAAGGAATCCATTTACAGGGATATCCAAACCAATAACAAACTTGATATAGAAGAACTTCTACATGAAACACTAACAAATGCAGAAAGTCTTTTGCAAGACAAACATTTTGCATTTTGGCTATGCATACAGAATATCTCTGCAGAGACAAGGCAAATATCTAGGTGTTCTGAAAATTACAAACAAAACTGAAATATCAAAGACAGAAACTTTAAAAAATTGAGAATTATCTCTCAACCATGGTGAAGAATGGCAGATGTTAAAGTTGAGTAACAAAATACATAGAACAAATTTCTTAAATATATTTTTGGATTATCAAGTTATACATAAATGTTCTCTTTCTTTTTTTAAGGGCAGTAATAGTAATCAAAGCAGATACCACTAATAAATGAGTGGGCACTGCTGCTTATTCTACACTACAGGACGATACAGGATAGCAGAAAGAACTCAGCTGCTGCAGAGTTCAGATCCTTTCAGTACTTCAGACTTCACAGCCCTAGTATTAAACTGACTTTAAAGAAACACTACAATTTCCCAATGTTTCTCAAAAAATATCTGTGCTCCATTTTCTATATTCAATTGGAATTTTAGCCCATTACTTTGACCTGAAGAAGCCAATTCTATTTACAGAACATATGCATACTTATCAAAAAAGCAAAGAGATAGATACAAGGACATCTCTGTATTTTTAACTGCAAAACAATTCAGTGGAAGAGTAATTTTTGTGCTGCAAAATAATTCAAAAGCAGATTTTACTAAGTGATATGGTCAGATGCATTTCCACATGACAGAACAGTAGCAAAACTGCCGAGAAACTTTCTAACTGCACCAAAGCAGTACGTTAACCACAATGGAAGAGAAAGGAAGGGAGTTACCCTATGTAACCCGAATAGAAACCAAGCAGCAAACAGTACTCAAGACTTTCAGAATTAAATCGTTAGGGAGAAAGGAACTAACGTCTTCAGAATAATAAAATACGTATTAAAAAACAACAAACTACTTCACTCAAACATACAGCTTCTTGAATAGTTCCACCATTTCAATCAGAACAGTTCCAGCAAATTTACGCTATCTTTGCTGACAGGAACACTGACGTCTCACTGTGCTGCTTCAACAAAACATTCTCAACTCTAGTACTACTAGAAAAGTAAACAAATATGGAATACAAAACCTTAAAAAGCTGGCTTGCAGAGATTCCTTGAACTGATACCTACTCACTAAAAAACCTTCTCTGCACTTTATTTCCTAAGGCTACTTTGTAAGTCATTCACCTTCCAAAATATTTTAGAACACAAGCATATAAAATCTACTTCCCCCCCTCATACCTCATGCAGTACCAGAACTAATCATGAAGCTGTCATTACCGGCATCATTAAAACAAAACAAAGAAGCAGAATATATGCTTGAAGAAAATCAAACCACACAGGGCAAAGACATGCATTTCTAACAGAACTGAACATGAACAAAATCAAGGAATACTAACATGGATAGCTTGTAAAGGACTGGGATTGGATTATTATGTGATAATGAAAAACAACGGACAGAAGCATCAACCTAATTTTTTACCATGCAACCAAAAAATACACTAAGCTGCAAGGTCCACAGTAGTTAAATTTATTCTGTTAGAAACTCATTTGTGCATGAGTCTGTTTGAAGACTCATTTGTGCATGACACAGTACAACCAGTATTGACCAAGAATGATAAACTGGCCCAAATTCATACTGCAATGATGCTTAGAAAAAGTAAAACTGAACTGTGATATACACCAAGTATACCATCTTCTGAAACACTGTCAAAGAAAAAAAAACAAACCACAAATCCAAATCAAAAAAAGATCACTGGTGCATTATATTTCAAGTCCAACACAAGAAAGTCTGCTATATTTTGCCCCAAATATTTAGTCAGTTACTTATGATGTGTCAATTATGAACTTCATTTTACAAAAACAGACCACATGCTAGAATGCAACTGAATTCACCATCCTATAGAAGTCAATAAAGACTACCTATATAATTTATTAATGATACACAAGAGTCAAGTGCTTAGGAGTATCAACTAAATCAACATGCTCTTCTCTGAACTTACTGTTCTTACATTTACAGCAAATGCACAGAAAAAGATCGTATGTCCCAATAATGTAAAGAGAATGCATGACCTACATAATTTACAAATAAATTAGCCACTTCTGGTAAAAGTTACGGGAGGAGGCCCATTTGTTTGTCATATTATTCCCTAATTGCAAAAAACCTTTTCCATTCCTGAGGTGGTTTAAAAGAAGTATAAAATCAAATCATAATAGTTGTGGTTTGTAAGTGTCTTAATATTGACTTCAGAGCTTCTATTCTGGATCTCATTCTAAAATAGTTCAGATAAAATTCTTCCAGAAAAACCAACAGCTTACTTTCCAACACAGCAGCAACAAAGCCATTGGGTTAATCTGCTTTATGGTTGACCTATGTGGTTCAGATGAATTACCACTTTAGCCTCTTGCAGACGTAATTGCTGGCTAAAACAATGTCCAACTTGAAGCGACTCATCTTTTACAAGGAGAAGGGTGGGTGCAGCAATACACCATTACAGTGAGGAAACACTGCAAGCACTAAATTCAGTTAGGTTATTGTATTAAAATATGGTATGGGAAAGATGTTTGCTTTTTCAACTTTTTTTTTTAACTTCAGAGAAGCATTTAAAAAACCTGTGTAAGGCAAGGTGGCTGGCTTATTAAACATAAGCAGTTGCAAAAAAAGAAACCGCTGTGGCAAAACAAAGCAATCTGGTGTAGAAACAGATTCAGACAAATAAGAATATTTTTCAAGTCATCAGATGGACTTCCCACAGCCACAGTGATCTTCCTTACAGACAAGATTTGCATGATCATGACTCTCATTTGTCTGAGCACACTGTTCACTGAACATTATTAGTCGGTCTTCCTTGAGATAGAAAACCCGGATTCTGTCCTACAGAACAAAAATAGTGAGAAGCATTGTACTATCTTTGGCTAATAAATGTACACAGACTATATGTGGTAAGATTCAGTGGCTACTACACTGACACAGATTCTGCCATTGAGTTTTTCAGGCACCTCTGTGCTTCAGCTTTCTTGCTTGTAAAGGGCAAGCAACGTATCTCTGTGGTTGAGAACCACACAGCCATGTAGCACTCGGGGTGCATGATTGCTACATCATCATTCTTGCAAAAGTGATTCCACAAACCAGATTGTCAGATACCAGTACCAACTGAGAAATTCATACTAGACCACACCCTTTAGAGATAAGCTCTAAAAGCATAAAACTGCAACAAGACAACCTACAGCATGCCTTTAACTGTGTAAATCAATCAATTGGTTCAATGAAAAATGCAAAAGAATTGATGCAGAAGCTCTACATCATCTACACCGAGATATGTAAGAACAATCCAGGTATGTACACTGTCTAACATCTTTCCCACAACAGAGAAAGCTGCAGCCAAGTTTCCCAACAGATTTTAAACTCACATGAATTCAAATCCTCTACTTAGAAACATTTTCCTTCAAGCCTGTCATGATAAGGATTAAAAATCAAAACATTCCTGTTTAACTATGGCCTTATGCTATAAAGACATTTGTAAACACTGACCACTAAGTAACAAATTTTGACGGTGTGCCCTTTCTGTACAAGATCCATGTTAAAGATACAAAACACTGTGGAGTTAATACCTCAGGTCCTCAGATCAGAAGGGTAACACTGAAGTACCAGTAACTTCAGACTAGGAGACAAGTTCACGCATCCCAACACTTGAGGAAGGCTGTCGTGCTTCCAGTTCTAGAGACGGCTCATACAGTACTGCTTTGTGGGGTCTCTGCAACCTTCTCCATTGCGGAGGTCAGATACATTTTTTAACATCTCAGTTCTTGAAAAACAAGCCTGGTCACAGCTTAACAACTAGGTTTCACAGAGTGGGATCTCTTATATGGAGGAAGATTTTTTTTCTAGAGCTATGACACATATAATCTGGCTGGCTCTCAGCAAGTGTACCAGAATTACCTAGCTGAAAAGTCAAGTTTCAGCGCAAGGCAGGCACCTAACTCTTCAGCATTATAAAGGCTAAGGCACTTCTGAACACAGACAGAAGCAAAAATGCAAGCAGTTCAATAAATACATACAAGATACCTATAGGTTACAGATTGTTATGGCATTTTCAAGACAATATTCCTCACACTCCTGGATTCAAGTGCTTAGAGTTGGACTTCAGCATGGTAATGCTCGAGTCCTCTTGCTCATCTGACTGTAAGAGCAGTAACACTGTAAGCAGTTAAAAACCCCAGGTATCTACGTGAACATTTGTGCAGCTTGTTTATATGCACAATTGTGTATTGTTCCCACAGCTATAACCACTTGAACAACTGGTTCTTCACATCAGCTCTATACACAATTCCAGTAATCATGTGCACGTTTAAGAATGCTAGTGCATACATGTTGAAAAGCTTCTGCACTTCTTCGGAAATTAAGTATGAAAGTCTTGTATCAACTCATGTAAAAGTAACTAATCTGAACCAGAATTTATCAATCTACTCTTGCAGTGAAACAATGTAACATCTGTGTATACATTTCATTTTGATATGTCTGTAACAACTTAATGAATAGGGTTTACTAGAGGAAAAAAAAAAGCAGCAACAAAACTCCAATTTTACAGATGACTCCTTGATAAACAGGGACTTTTTATCATGATTTGTACATCAAGACTGCAACAGACAGAAAACTATAATTCCTTTAAGTAGATTGTGAAACCTGTAGTTATAATTGTCATGTTTGAAATAAACAAAGCAGCAGCGTGTATCAATAACTAGACCTCTCATGTTGCGTTTATTTAGTAAATGTAATTATTTAGATTCCAA